TTTTTTCTTTTTTCTTTTTTCTTTTTTCTTTTTTCTTTTTTCTTTTTTCTTTTTTTTTTCTTAAAGACTGCCGGCACCTTTGTTGTCGAAGTTAACGTGCTGTCGCATAGCAACACTGTGATAAAATCAAACAGTGTCAGGGACGTTACTAAAGCAGGAAATGAGGAATGGGGAATGGGGAATGACCGGAAATCGGAAATGGAAGAGTGGGACGAGCGATCATTGGTATTAACCTTAAAAAGTGTCATGGCGCTTGCGCTTGCAATCTATATAGCTTTTTTTATAATGAAAAATTTGCCGATATTCCACGGCAGTGGTTTGTAATCGTACTAAAAATAATCGATGAATTCGCGAAGAAAAGATATTAAAACATGGCTCGTAATCTAGTCTATCGTATAAATACTCAAACACTATTGGATAATTTGTCAAAAATTCGTGTCGAGGTGGCCTTGTTTGGAGTCAGCGGTCATACTGTAATTGTAAAATTCCTATAACTTTTGAATGCCTTGAGCAATCGGTGGGATACGGTTTTCAAATCCATGTTGGTTATCTCAAGAATCGTCTAAAAACACATATTTTACGAAGCAGGAATTAGGCTCAGAATGAAAACCATTAAAAACGATGCGTTGACGTCATTATGGCGTCATATCCATATTAGTAGCACTAAAATTTGGTAAGCCTTGATATTCTTGCCAACTTTGATAAATGTCCCACTTGTATTTTTGAAATTACCGACCCGCCCCAACGTTAACCTTGCCGATTTTGGGGTCATTTATGTCCATTGTGATATATAACAGCAGCAGTAAGGGGGACTCGCGATCGATGTCGTATATTCACGGGTTTTACCCGCGTTATTCCGAACGCGCCGGCAGCGGGAAATACCCGCGCGACAAGTCCTTACTGCTGCTGTGTTGGGAATCGTAAACGGAGGTTAAGATATTCCTTACATATAGATGGACACCATCACGAGCATTCGTAACAAAACTGTGCGCCGACTGCGAACTCAGGTGTTGGATCGCCTGGATGCGGACTTTGCCTTCACAACATTTATGGAGGGAGATACAGATGAGACGATGAG